CATCTTCTTGTTCAAAGTTTCCGTTAGAATCTTTACCTGAAAAGGGAAGAATTACGGTTTTGCCCCTTGTAACTGTAAGTATTTTTGGCGGTAAAGTTTAGGAGAAATGAAAATGGAAACGAACCAGCCAAGAGGAGACACCGGGGAGCTCTGTCGCGGGGAGAGATTGGCCACCGCCACCACCGAAAGCAACTCCGATTCTGACTTCAGGATTCGATACAAAGGAATAAAGCAATGCTTTTCCTTCAAGAATTGGTCTGATCAGAATCTGCAAGAAGATTTAGTAAATAAACCAAATCCTATGTAGAGAAATAATTTGCTTTCTAGAGTTTTGTGAACTTTTAGGAAAACAAAAGTTTTGCTTACATCGCCCTTGATGCAGAGACTATTGACAACGATTCGTGCTGTTCGATTAAATGGTTTGGATAACTTGGCTTGCAACAAAATACTTAGATCCGTTGTGTCCCAATTGAAATCCAATCGCATGATTTTCTAAAGAGAAGAAAAACAAAATGTCAAACATCAAAATCCAATATTTTAAACATATTTGAAGTTTCATAGTAACTAAACCTGTTCCCCTGATTTTGACCAACAAGTTCCATGGAGTCCCAGCAAAGGAGGGCATGAGCCAAGAGAAAACTCCAACAATTGTATATTTTCCTATCGAAAAACCGATACAAATTAGCATCACTGTGTCCAATGTCTTCTAAAAAGAGGTCTCATGGAAAAGGGAGAGATTTCTTACTATTAATCTTGATCTTCGTTGCCTTAGTCGTTTCTGTGATTTAGATAAAACGATCAAAAGTTAAAGTTTTATTGCCTTTAAAGACCCAAGGATCATGAAGCTTGAGTTTACGGTATGATTAAGAATGAATCTGACTCACCTCCACCATAGAAGAAAATCTGAGAGAGAGTTTCTTGTTCATATAGTTTAGCCAAATTTCAGACAGTAACTTGTTTAGCCATTGACAATGTTCCAATGGAGTTATCGTCTGGAGAAAAGGCAACAACGCGGTATTCTTAAAACGTCGAGCAATACAACGAGAGTTAAACGAAACCAAAACAAAACTAGTGTAACAGAAATTCTCACCGACGCATTGAAAACGGTTTGCCTCCACTTCCTGGTTAGATCTTCTGCAAGTATTGCCCTTTGGTAGCTTCCATACTACAAAGGGAAACAAATGAACAGAGTAAAACCACAGCAAGACTTTAACTTATATATCTCTCAACTTTATATTCAGATTTGTGCATAGGAACACACTTATTAAGACTCTTGAAAAATTTACCAATTAAACCTTTTTTTAGTAAAACACAAACACATGAACGAAACTCTAATCTAATATACCTAAGATTGTAACTCTTCCCTGAAAAAGCAATTTACCATAACTATCTACAAACTGTTTTTGTATATGGCAAGTTTGAAAATGTTAGGTATACACAAAAAAGCATAAAGCTTCCAACTTTATCTGAGGATTCTAAAGTATCAGATTAAACGGATCCAAACAAAATTAACCGGTAGTTTAGCAAAAACCAATCAATTATCAAAGGCACAAGGACTTATTAATTTGTAAGCTTTTGAATATGAGAAATCAATATACAAATGAACTAACCTGAAGAGAAGCCCAAACGGCGACAACGAGAGGAACCCAATTGGAGAAAGCAAAGACCCATCTCTCAATTGCCCAGAAAGCTAAGACCAAAGGAACCAGCAACAACAGCGAATGTCTCTCAGCAACTAGATGATTGATAAACTCTCTCACAGCTTCCGTGTTTATCAAACCTTTCCTCTTTATTCTCCGACCCATCTCTTCAATTCGCCTTCAAGCTTCTTCACAAATCCATAAGTCAGTCAATGAAATTTCTCAAGAAGATTTCTTTTTCCCGGGAAAATCTGAAGTGGCGAAAGTAAGAAACTTTCCTTGCGGTGCTTTTTATTTATTATCCCACCATTTCCATTTGATTTCTTCAACAAACTAGAGAGAGATCCACGGTGTTTTTAAGTGAACAAAATTTCTGGGAAAATCTGAAAGAAATCTGTGGGAGAGAAGTTTCGAATAAAAAGGGTTTTTCTTCAGACAAGAATTACGATCTCCTAGTTACTTGTCGGAAACTCTCTCACAGCTTCTCTTGCATAGAGAGGTAACGGATCTTTAGACAGATTGAACAGTGTGTGTGCAAAGCTAAATCAGAAATTAGAACCTTTTCTATTTATTTACGCAGATACATAAATTAAATAAAGACTTAGTTTTTACTTTTTAGAAATACTTACCATACCAAAGGAATAATCCAATGATATTTACTCTGCCAAAGATTTTTTTAGTTATATCGTAAGTGAAATAAAATAAGGAAAAAAGGCATAATATTCTCCTGATCACTTTTACAAGAATATATTTACTGTTTGGTTTTATCTTTTGGTCAACGCGTAGAATTGGTGTTTTAATCACTTTAATTAACAAAATCACTTTAATTAATACTACTACTACTACTTACTTAGTCCAGCTTTTTGGTCCTACGTCATTTATCTAAAGAGATCGTGACCGTTTATAATTTTATTAGAGAAAACAAGAACTGTCCGATGTGCTTGGCCGCCTCTTATTGACAAGTAATTTACTTCACTGGAGGTCAGACAGACTCAGACATCATTTTAACGTTGACTATTCTGATTGTTAACAGACGCGTGATGATTGGAGATCTGATCGGCACATTTTGTTTCTATCTTTGTTATTATAGTCTTCGTCAAGGGATACAATAATATTTTACTTTTCTTCTTGTATAATTCCAAAGGATACAAATGTTCTAAATATAGTATTTCTCTTATCTTGCTTATCTTTTTTTTTTGTACTACTTATCTTATTTATTCAGGGATGAGAACTAATTGAATGAATATCTCATTGCTTTCCAGATTTAATGTTGCCCAATTTTACTGGTGTATTAGATAAAAGAATTTATTGTTTGTACATGAACCCTTTAAAATGGTGCATGTCAATTTCCCAAGCTTGTTAAATCACTTATATTTTGTAACCAATTGTCTGAAATAAATTACAAGTTGAGATCTCACAATATTAAATTTAAATTCTACAAATACTAGCAACGTAATTTTTTTTAAAAAAAAATTGGTTTAAAGGATTAGGTTTGATTGGAATGGTTGGGTTTTTGTTTTATATTTTAGACCTCGTTAAACATTAGGTCCGAACAAATATGTATTCATATTCGTTATTGGACTCAAAATGATCAAAATCCATAAATCACGTTGTATGCATTTATTAAATGTCCATTCTAGTTTTTTAAAATCTATCCGATACCAAACACCAATAGTACGAATCATCATGACTCATGGCCTTGTTTTAAAAAGACCCTAAGAAAGAAAAAAAATGTGAATTCGGAGTTATTGAGGTTGGTAAGCTGGACCGCATTGCCATTGATCGAGGGACATACATTACATACAACTTGTGCCTCAAAGATTTGTGGTACAAACAATTCTTTGTGACCACAAAAAAAATAATAAAGTGTTGATGCAGAGAGAAACAGGCTTGATGGGCTTGCACATGTATGGGCCTTTTGTTTCTTTCGTTGGTCTAGTCTCTGGTTTGTTGTTGGAGATCAAACTTCTGTTGGCGCAAGAGTCTTCTATCCGATAAAACTATTGAGTATCCGGTGAAAATCAAAACCCTAAATGACAATGACGACACCGGAGCTTACAAAGGATTCCGTCGAGGAGATACTGTGTCGCGTTCCGGCAACGAATCTGAAACGGTTACGATGTACTTGCAAACAATGGAACCGATTATACAAAGATGATGAGAGATTCGCAAGAGAGCACTGTGATAAAGCCGCAAAGGAGGTTCTAGCTCTCATGTTGACAGAGAAGTACAGGATTAGTCCGATGAGCGTCAATCTCAATGGAGATGTTCCTTCTGTAGAGGTAAAAAGTGGGCTTAGCGTACCAGATCCGCATTTTAATAATTCATGTCAATACGATATAGCTGAAGTCTTTCACTGTGACGGCTTGTTGCTATGCACCCACGAAGGTAGCCTCCGGTACGGATCACAAATCGTGGTTTGGAACCCGTTTACTGGTCAGACCAGGTGGATCGAATCCGGCAATCGTTGCAAGGAAGGCAAAAGATTTGTTCTAGGATACTACTACCAAGACAAGAACAAGTCCTGCAGTAAAAGCTACAAAGTTTTGTGCTTGAGTCCTTTTGGCAATGATACAGAAATCTACGAGTTAAACTCTGATTCGTGGAGGACGATTCCTGATGGTGAAATCACTCCAGGCTACTACATTTCAGACTCTGGCCATATGGTGTCTTTGAAGGGAAATACTTACTGGTTTGCTCGTGAGATAGCAAAACCGCATCTCGGCATATCCTTGCTCGGATTTGATTTTCAGACAGAGAAATCATCATCTTTTTGTTTGCCTCTTCCCTATCAGGGTCCACTCTATGAAATTTTGAGTCTTTCCGTCGTTAGAGAAGAGAAACTTTCCGTGTTTATACAACCCGATTCTACATCCAAGACTGAGATATGGGTGACTAGTAAGATTGATGACACCACCACCAAAGGAGCAGTTTCTTGGACCAAGGTCTTATCATTGGATTTGAACCCTGATCTTCAAATTACGGATCAGGTAAAGTTTTTGCTTGACGAGGAGAAGAAAATCGTCCTGTGTTGCGAGAGATGGATGGTCATGGAAGACGAGACCAAGTCCTTCGACAAGATATTCATTCTCGGGGAGGATAATAAAGTCATTGAAGTGAGTTTTGGTGTGGGTATAACTGAAGGATGTTGGCCAGCTATTCTTAATTATGTTCCAAGTTTGGCTCCAATTGAGCGAGCTGGAGGCAAAAGAAAAAAGAGGTGACTAAACAAGCTCTACAAATATATATATATATTACTTGGTTATGCAAAAAACCTGTTGAAGAGATCCAAAAAGTTGCTGCATTTGATTTTGACCAGCACTGCATCTTCCCCTCATTTCAAATTATGTATCCCCTGTCTGCATAACAACCTAACAGTAAACCACAATGTTAGGGGATGATCACATGGTAAAGCATGTGGCAATTATGTAGCGTACCTTGTAGTTGTAAGAGCGGTGCCTGCACCTTTGGAATCTCTATGTATTCTTATGTTAACGACCCGTGAATCGGATAGCAGGGAATGATACTAGAATTGAGTCTTCAGTTCCTGTCTCCTTCAAAGAAAAATTCCACTCCATCCTCAGAATCACCAACCATAACGTCTTATTTTTTTCTACTTTGAATTCAAACTCCCTTTCAGAATTTTGTTTTCTCCTCTTCCTCTGAAACTCAAATGCTATGAAAACACAATAGATTGAAAAATAATGCACAGCTAGTAAGGGGTGGTAGAGTTACTCATCAAGCCAAAAACCGCACATGTAGAATATAGTAGATCAAGGGATTGAACTCAATATACCACTTGTTTTTTTCTTCTTTCATCAATCTGTTTAGCTTCCAGTCTTCCACATTTGATAATTCGAGTTCAAGACGCTCAGTTTGTTTCTCTGCTATGCATTTTTCTTCCCAAATTTCACCAGTTTCCTCAAGCAAACTGTATAAACAGAGGGTTTTCAATTATCTCAGAGGTGATCAAACAACAACTTACTCATATTGTAGATGGTGGCATGAGGCTATTCTCATGTTTTTTATCTCACCATTAGAGATCCCTCCTTGTATTCCATGTTTTGTCGGAAAAAAACAAAAGCTCGGAATCGTTCGAAACAATGGCTGGAAAGCCACTTTTGAGAAAAAAAAATGCTGGAATGCCACTCATCTAATTTTTATTTCTGATAGAATTAAAAATAAAGCAATTTAAATCAGAAAATTATGAAAAGACCAAAAACCCAAAAATCAAATCCCTAATTTCTCATTTTTTCCCTTGCTCTTGGAACAGAGGATTCGAAACTCACACACAGCTTCCCAGTTCGTGATCGCTGATGGAATCTTCCTCCGGCAGAATCGTCTTCTGAGCTCTTCGTCGTTTTGGGGCACCAAATTCGGAAACACCGTGAGGTTGGGAGTATCAGGATGTAGTAGCTGCTATCGGAGGAGGACCACGAGTGTGAATGCTTCATTAGGTGGTCTTCTCAGCGGGATTTTCAAGGGTTCTGATAACGGAGAATCGACTAGGCAACAGTACGCATCAATCGTTTCCTCCGTCAATCGATTGGAGACTGAGATTTCGGCACTTTCGGATTCAGAGTTGCGAGGAAGAACTGATGCGTTAAAGCAACGGGCTCAGAAAGGAGAATCCATGGATTCACTTTTACCTGTAATTTTCCAATCCTTTACTTTCAGCTTTTGGTTTGATACCAAAATTTTGATGCAATTGTGGAAATTTAAATTTGTAGGAAGCATTTGCTGTTGTGAGAGAAGCTTCCAAGAGAGTTCTTGGACTCAGACCTTTTGATGTGCAACTAATTGGTAACACAATCTCTGTGGACTGTGATCTTATGGTTTCACTGTTAAGAAGATTTTTTTGAGTGGACTCTCTATTTGGTTTTAATTGTGCAGGTGGTATGGTTCTTCATAAAGGAGAGATAGCAGAAATGAGAATTGGAGAAGGGAAAACGCTTGTTGCTAATTTACCTGCTTATTTGATTGCATTAAGTGGGAAAGGTGTTCATGTGGTTATAGTTAATGATTATCTTGCTCGAAGAGATTGTGAATGGGTTGGTCAAGTTCCTAGGTTCCTTGGATTGAAGGTTGGTCTAATCCAACGTATGTCTCTTTTCTCTGAACTTCTTGGTCAATGTGATCATCATCTTCTTTGTTAGTTGTGTGTTGTTGTTCTACTATTTATAGATGCGTCGCGCATTCTGTTACTTTGGCACTTTCCCCTTGCTCCTCACGAAGCGTTGCATGCGTCAGCAGCAGCAGCCTCCCGGAGCTGGCCTCGACGATCCAATCAACCTGCATATTCTATGGAAGGTGATCTGAAAAATGAGGTATGCGTTCTTACTTGGCATTGTGCACTCATGGTCATGCCAATTAGATAGAATTTAATGTCCGTTGTTTCACATGTTTTAAGAATCCTCTGTTCCTTTCCATGAATTTTCTTATGTTTTCTTTTCCAATAATTGCAGAAATCGTTTTCATTTGCAGTGAGAGATTCACTAGTTAATGTTGGTCCAGTAAAAGATTTTGCGTACGGCTTAAGGATTAATGCTGATGCAAACGCCACTGGGATATCCAAACAGAGCAAATATGAATTGGTAAGCCGTTTATTTGGAAGTTTTATATTATACTAGCTGCGGAAATGTTTTGTACAAAATATAACTTGCTTAGGGTTGTTATTTGTAATGTCTATTTTTGAACTATTCTTTTAATTAACAATGAAATCCTTTGTTCTACAAATTTAGTAGTTGACATGCTTGCCTCGTATTTGTGTAAAAACTGTAAACGCCATACTAAATTTCTGTATTTTGGCGTTGAGGTGTGCTGTTCTAGTCATGGGAAGAAGTGGAAGGAAGAGCTTGATCAAGAAATGGAAAGAAAGCGCACAAGTCAAGTCTTGTATGCAATCGTTTATTTAGGTACAACTGGTATATTTAGGTACAACTACGTATAGGTGCAACTGGTATATTTTTGTTTTGTAGTGTTGCTCTGTCAAAGATAGAGGATAAGTGGAAGGAAGAGCTTGATCAAGAACTGGAAAGAAAGCGCACAAGTCAAGTCTGCACGTACTTGTGGATTAAGATTGCACATGACTTATGTTTTTGTATTTCATTTTTGTATTTTGTTGTGTTGTGGATTAAGAACATATGACTTCGTATTTTTGTAAACCAAAAAAATATTTAGATTATATTTATGTTCAATTGGTTTTGTAGGTACAACTAGTCTATTTAGGTACAACTATGTGTATGGATTACTTATAAGAAAGTACAACTAGATCACTTTGGTACAACTGAGACAATTAAAAATAACATTTTAAAAAACAATTTTTAATAAATTTCAAAGAAGTAAAAAAAAAAAAAAAAGTTATCCACGTAAGCATCATTTTTGGCGGCGGGATATTATTTTTAATCCACGTAAGCATCATTTTGGCGGCGGGATATTATTTTAAAATCATCACACGTGTGGTAAATTGTTTTGTTTTAAACATAGTTGTACTAGTTGTCCAGTTGTACTCACATGTTCATAGTTGGACTTTGGCGATTTTTGCGTATTTTGAGTTGGACTTTAATAAAAATTAGTAATTTTAAGTTGGACATATGTTGTTACACTATTAATTATCATCTAAGAGGTTTTCAGAATACAATTTGCACGAAATCATAATTTTCACCTCTTTTGCATCAAAAGAAGTGATCACCTACAAAGTGTTCCTTATACTATAAGGAGTGTTTTATATGAAAACAATAGTATGCACTAGGAAAATGATAAATTCGAGTTTTACTTATTTAAAATTATTTCTTTATAGTTCAACATGTTTTTAGAATCCTTATTAACTCTAATTTATCGTTTTCATAATTATTGAATACAAATACGGATACATTTATGATCTTAGTTGTACCTTATCGAACCTAATTATACCTAGTTGAACATAGTTGTATGAATACGACAAGTACATATACTGATACATATATGGTTATAGTTATGTTCTTAGTTGTATCCAGTATAGTTATGGTATTAGTTGTACCAGTCATACCCAGTTGTACCCAGTCGAACATGGTTGTACAACAAATACAAAAGATTTTTAGTCATTTATCTTCCACAATATCATATATTTACTTTGAAATTAATATACTAATAATTTTAAAAATATAATCAGTAAAAGCTTTATATATGAAAATGCAAGCTTACAAATTTGATACCCAAAGTATAACGTCGTTAGCAATAATATAATAACCAAATTTATTCTCTCTATCTAACCAACATTTATAAAGTATTGGAAAATATTTCGTCACTATGTAGAAACATAACAAAGTATTTGATATAACCCAAAAACATTCCAAATCTTGAGAATGGGCAAATACTCAAATCTAAGCAAGAGCATGCATATCCTTGATCCATTGGTCCAATGACTTACCAATAGAGTAAACAATAAATCCTATCTTCCCCAGCTTCTCTACATCAACAACATTTCTATACCATCAAAGACAAACGCTGGTTTCTGCATCTTTTCAAAAATCCTCTCATAGTCAAGCGTCTTACACTCATCCCACTCAATTAACAAGCAGATTCCATGGGCGTCTTTAGTGGCATCACAATTAACAATCCAAAGACTGTGATGATCCATCTTGAGATCACATCTTTGACCTGCATAAGGAAAACATGGATCGAGTAAAGCTTTCTTTCTCTATCACTAAAAAGTGGTCACCATACAATGAGAATTTTCACTACTAAGCACAACATGGTAGCAAATCAGATTTTGCCTTACACACATTACAATGATGGCAACGAGGCAATTACAAGCAATGGAATTCAAGACTAAAGTATTTTTTGAGGTAATATTTGCCATAAGAACTCATGATTACAGAATTGACAGTTCTCGTTCCCAACATCGAATCCCACCACACACATCTAAGCGAATCAACAAGAGATCTTAGATATAAAGTTATAAACGCATAATGAAATTCTTGCTCTTCGAAGAGAAATCAAATCAAACGAGAAGGACAAAAGATGAAGAAGACTATACAATGATCTGAAACTTCGAATCGTTTATGCAGGACATCCGGTGACTGAGAGAGCGTTGTCGTCGTCGTCGGAGTGTTGTCGTCGTCGGAGCGGTGGTGATTATTGTTGATATCCATCGGAAGATTGAGGAACTAAGAAAGAATCTCTAAGTTTTATAATGGCGTAAGAGAGAGGAGAACAAACCGATTGTGAGGGCGAGACGCCGGAGACGACGGCCGGCGAGATCGGCGGTGCGACCTCTGGTTTGGGAGGAGAGGATGCGAGCAAAAGTTTTTGTTGCTTTTTTTGTTTTCTTTTTCGTTTTAGATTTTAAAAATTAATTAAATCAAAATATTCATTAAGGGCAAAATAGAAATAACACATTTGAGTGGCACTCTCAGACTCTAAAATGGCAGGCGTGATTCTCATTTCCGGTTCAGTGGCAAACTAGCCTTGGTCTCGAATCGTTCTCATCCTGGTGATTTCGTTTTTTTTACACGTCAGCATATTTTAAACGGTTAAGATTTAATCAAATGACCTTCTCAATTTCTTAAATAATCCTATCCCTACACGTCAGCGTATCTTGATTTTCTTCCGACAAAACCAAGATTGAGGTTGCAAAATAGATACATTCAGTATTGAGGAAGAGGAAAGCTGAAAACGAAACCCTACTTTATATTCAGAGCAACCTGTGGCCGCCGTCCGTTTCAAATGGTGTTACCGGATCTTCGTAACGATTTGGTAGATGAGATACTCTGTCGCGTTCCGGCGAGGAATCTGAAACGGTTACGATCTACTTGCAAACGATGGAACCGATTGTTCAAAGATGATCGGAGATTCGCAAGAGAGCACAGCCATAAAGCCCCAAAGGAGTATCTAGCTCTCATGCTGACAAACAAGTACAGGATTCGTCCGATGAGCATCAATCTCCAGGGAGATGTTACTTCTGTAGTGTTAAAAAGTGAGCTTAGCCTACCAGATCCGGATTCTAATAATTCACATCAATTCGATATAGATGAAGTCTTTCACTGCGACGGCTTATTGGTATGCAGCCACGATGGCAACAACCGCCGATACGGATTTAAAATCGTGGTTTGGAACCCGTTTACTGGTCAAACAAGGTGGATCAAAGCCGGCAATCGTTGGAAGGAACCCAAAAGTTTTGTCCTCGGATACTGCTACCAAGACAAGAACAAGAACAAGTCCTGCAGTAAAAGCTACAAAGTTTTGTGCTTAAGTTCTTGTGGCAAAAATACAGAAATCTACGAGCTTAAATCTGATACTACGTGGAGGAGGATTCCTGATGGTGATCTCACTCCAGGCTGGTTCTTTTGCCCTAGCCACACCGTGTCTTTGAAGGGAAATACTTACTTTTTTGCTACTGAGAAATCAAAACCGCATCTTGGCGTGTCCTTGCTCAGATTTGATTTTTCAACAGAGAAATCATCTCTATTTGTGCCTCTTCCCTATCAGCGTCCACTGTCTGCAACTTTGAGTCTTTCCGCTGTTAGAGGAGAGAAACTTTCCGTGTTAATACAACCCGAATTTACATCCAAGACTGAGATATGGGTGACTAGTAAGATTGATGACACCACCACCAAAGGAGCAGTCTCTTGGACCAAGGTCCTAGCATTGGATTTGAGCCTTGATCTTCAAATTACGGATGAGGTAAAGTTTTTGCTTGATGAGGATAAGAAAGTCGCCGTGTGTTGTGAGAGATGGTTGGAAGACGAAGACGAGACCAAGTCCATCGACAAGATATACATTCTCGGGGAGGATAATAAAGTCACGGAAGTGGGTTTTGATGTGGATACAAATGCAGGAGTTTGGCCAGTTATTCTCAATTACGTGCCAAGTTTGGTTCAAATCGAGCAAGCTGGAGGCAACAGGATCAGAAGCGGCTAAACAGGCTCTACATTTTACTTATAACCACAGCTATGCTGAGGCTATTCTATTCTCATGTTTTTTATCTCACCATTTGAGATCCCTCTTATGTATTTTACCAGAACAACAGTGTTTGTCTTTGCAAAGAATATGCTCTTGTGCTCATTACCTGTCAGAAACGTACCTGCAGATACAACCTTACTTTGTGACCACAAGGGCACTGAATTAGTTGAAACAAGTGAAATAGATCTCTTTACCTGCAAAGCCACTTCCAAACTCAAAGCCTTTTGTTTGCATACATGCTTTTGCCAGTTCAGTCTTGAGTTTATTGAAAAAAGGTGTACCAAAGCCCCTGCATATAAGTTTCTTAGTAATCAATAAATCAATCATTTTAAGAATTGAACAATGGTAAAGTGGGACAACACGAGGAGAATTCCGAACAATGAAAGTAATAACACCACCAACGGAGTTCCCCTTTGTTCTTACATGAACAAATGCAGCTATCATCTTTTCAGCAAACTCGAGATCAGGACACCTGACGATATTACTTTCTATCTGGCACGCAAGCAAGTTTGTTGCCAATGCAAAATTATCAAAAAAAAACGACAAACACTAATCGTGGAAAAAGATTATAATAGTGTAAATGGAAATTGCAGCTAGCAAGAATCAGGTCACCTAAATGGGGTTTCCTTGAACACAAACTGTAGGTGAAACTTCCAAAAAGAAAGATAAATTAATCACAGCATTCCATAGTCAAATTCTCATGGTCTACTAGATGCCCTGGAATACAACCTGGTGGACATAAGCAAAGAATCTGGATATCCAACAGCAAGTGAAGATGCAACATATTAACGAGTTGTGCTATCTGTAGTAAAACTGGGGTTAATGAGTCGAATTAAAAGGGAAAATCTCATTTGTGAAGATAGCCTATCATAAAAGAGACTACTTTGAGGTAAGAGAATGCACCAATATGTGAAGGATATATAAAGAGTTTCAGAGTTAATTGATTCTTCGGGTACAATCAGAAAACTTACACGGTCCAGTTCCTGAATATGCTCTAAACAATTTCTTGGACAAAGCTCCAGGAGCTACTCTTTCAATGGCCTCTCTAGCTGAAGATCTCCTGCCACTCATGAAGAAACAGAGAGACTTATTTGAAGATACTTCCAATTCAAATACTAATCCTAACCAAGATAAGCAATATACATATATAGAAAGTTTTGAACAAAAGAATGACAGTAAATGTCATTACCTCAACTGATCTCACTCTCTACTTTCATGTCGTAAGTTGCATCAGTAATGTGAAGGGCCTATATGCAACAGACATTTCACTGTAAATCACCTACAAATAAAGCAAGGAAGTGAGAACCATATGCTTCTGCAAATCACAAAACTCTTTCTCATAGAATGTTATTCTTCTATTAATCAAAAATCTGATAACTCCAACTGCAAAAGAATGATTAATTATATGAGCATTTTCTATTATAAACAAACCCTAATCCGATACACAGAAAGCTAACACAAGGATGATGCGAGTGAAATAACAAACGAAATCAGAGAATGGTTATGGCGGTACGGTTTAATTGGTTCAGACCTCTCGTTACAGACCGTTATAGTTACAGATAACGGAACTAAACAGCAAAAAATGGAAACTAGGATGTGATCATCCATAATTCTCTCCACTAATTATCTCAATTAATCATTTACATTTTGAAGTTTAAAACTGGAATTTAGCAATCTAGTGGCGATAATCTCTAACCGTTTATTAGCCTCATAAACTGATTTACTTACGTGGCACTAAGTGCTCACTTGAAACACTCACCAGAATACACGTGGCTCACTGTAACAGCCAAAAAAGTAGTACCAAGCTTATATAAAAGCCAACAATCTCCTCCACTCTTTCATATCTTCCAAATGAATCTCAATTTTGTCATTTCGTTTTACTTTCAATAAAAAACTTACTTTTGGTTATGTATGATTCGTTTATTTATTTAATCAAAAACGTTACACTTTATCTAATTTCTTTATTATATATGAAATGAGCTCAACGTTTAACGACTATCATCACCATCCAAAGAGAGAACCCAATGAAAACAACTCCGGAATCTTATACACTCCCTCACCGTCACCTTCACCGTCACCGCCGACGTTAAAAGTCAACAAAGACTCTCACGTTATTAAAAAACCTCCGTCTCCGTCGTCTTCCTCCTCCGCGGCTAAGCCTCGTCACCCGGTGATCATTTACACACATACTCCCAGAATCATACACACTAATCCTAAAGATTTCATGGCTCTTGTTCAAAAACTCACCGGAATGTCCCGCTCCGACGAAGATCCCGGTGGTAACGCAATGACAGATCCCGGGGGAAAATCAATCAACCGGAGTGTCTCTGATCTAACCGTCGACAGAAAAAATAATCGGAATCGTTGCGGCGGAGGTGGTGGCAATAATAACTACAACAGAAGCTACTCCGGTACCGGAGCCGGAACCGGAAACGGAAAGGGGATATTTTTTAATAACACGATGATAAGTGAAGATAGTGAATCGTCGTCGGTGATAACAACTGATGAGAACATCGGAGAACATGGACAGGTTAATTCTTCTCTTCCGTATTCGGCGGTGGCTATTCCTCCACAGCCACCGCCTCATCCTCCTCCGCCACCGCCTCCACCGTCAATGTACGACGCGGCGGTGATAAACTACGGTGCTTATTTACCGACGTTTCCGATTTTCCCGCCGGCGAATCCAACTGATAATTTCTTATGCGGTAATCAGCCGTTTGCGAATTTTGATGATCCGCTTTTCTTCGCGCCTAATATGAGAAGCTCTTTCTCTTCTTCTTCATCTTCTGGGTTCGACGGCTTGACGGAGTTTCGCGATTTTTAACTAATCGGCGTTTGAATTTTGGAAAATAAATTTTGATTTTTTCTCATTGGAGGAGGTCTTGAAAAGGACTAATAAATTTTGAAATTAGTTATAGTTATTTTTCTTTAGTTAAATCCGGTTTTCTTTATAATCGAAACAATTTTTCTGTGATCATTTTCTTTTTTCACAAATTCATTTTTATTTTTTTCCCCTTTTAGGCATCAATATAGATCTCTTCTTTTTGTTCAATTTCCCAATTTCTTATTTCTTTTTTTTGAACCATAATATAAAAGTGAAATATATTTTAAAAAAAATTGAGGTAAGAAAAATATATTGTCCCTTGCTCCAAATTGATGTAAGAGTTTCGAGCCGTTGCAAACATATATTGGAAATTTGTAAATAATTTTATTGAATTCAAGACTTGCTCACGAGATTAACTCAATAATACAGAAATTGCATACAAACATAGATACATACATACAAGTATAAAAAGTATAGATTATAAGTATATATGTACATAAAATACGTCTGTGGCAACTATAGACGTCTCCTCAGTTCTTCTTCTTCTTATTGTTCTTGTCATGTTCGAGGACCACAGGAGCCGCTGGTATACTAAACCACCACTCTCTCAACCGCCTTATTAACCGTTCCGTGCTAGCTCTCCGTGGTGGTGAGTACCTTGTGAAAAGCTCAACAAACACTACCGAAAGCAAGTAGCGTCCCGGAACAAAGGCCATCATCGTCGCTGCAACCACAATCGCAATCGCAAACTTCTGGCTCGCCTGAATAGCGGTTTCAAACCGTGGTTAGACACAGCGTTAGGAGAAGTGGTTGTGTTAAATATAAGAGGGCAGGCTGACCTGAGGGAAAAGCGAGAATAATAAAGCTCGGAACTTGAGAAGAATGATGTTTGCGTCTTGAATGTTCTGTTCGAGCTCCGAGATCCCGTTCTGGACCGCCAAAAGCTGTTCCATTGTGTTCATTGGAGGAGGAGCAGTTACTTTCAGCTCGATCATGAGCTTTTCTCTGCTGAAACATCTTGTGAGAACCATGAAGATTGCAGAGAAGAGAGATGCAAGAGCAAAGACATAAACAAGCCATCCCCTCCAAATTATGAAAGTGGAGACGAGACAGAAAACACTAGACTTCATAGGATCATCCCAATACACCACAGACAAAATCCAGTTCCCGGTTTCCATTATCGGAAGCATCAGTTCCTACCAAAGAAAAGAGAAGCAATTCAATGTTTTAGACAACGCAGTTACAAATCTTCCTGTCAAACTTTCTTTTCCTTTACCTTCATCACGGCTATGTTGGTGTCAATGCCTTCCATTTTGACTCCATTAATTGTCTCTTGCGCAAGCACTACCTTCTCGTAGTTCTTACGTGACTCCTTCACTGCTCTCTCTAATGGATTCACATCTCCAACCACTACTTCACCCACCACAAGATTATTCGTGTCCCTCCTGCTCCTAGGACTTGACCCTCCAAACACAGAACCCAGCTGCGAAACCATATCAGAAGCTGAGGAATGTAATGTCCCTGGTAAATAAATTTCATTTACATTACACATTAACTTCCTCGAAAATTTCATCTTCTATAATCATATAATGCACACGCTTTCAATTTTCACACTCTTGGTCAAGATAAAGAAGATATCATTAGGTATAAGTTATTTTGATAAGAAGTAGTGCAACCTGTATCTTTGGATTTATTTGATCGATGGAGCTCTCTTGAAGTAGACATCTCTGCAAGCGTCTCAAGAATCAGATCTCCACCGGGAAGCTGATCGCAGAGATTGAACGGGAGAAGATTTTCGTACCGCATTGCATTTGTCAAACTGAGTTCTTGAAGAGCTTGCACACGTATAATGCCAAGGACAGCCTTTGAAAGTGCTTCGTCTCTTGCCAAACCGATGATCTTGTACTTGTTTATGTATCTGTGAACGTATAATACTTCTTGTATAATAGTGAGCCAGTAATCACGGCGTGTGTGCCCTTTAAGCTCTGGGAATTCCATTACCACTGGTTCTGATCTACAACAGATAGCCATTGAAAGCTGTTAACTGACCATTCATAAAAAAAGAGAGCATGTTTTCAGTTGTACAAGAGATTTCAATCGATTAAATGTAAAAACACACGGCCTTACAGAGATATAGACTTGTAAGAAACGGCCTTGTCGAAAAGTCGAGTGCCCCAAGGACCAGTTAACTCAGGTTTAATTATTTGCTTTAGATCTTCAGATAGGTCATATCGCTTTGGTGTGTCATAAGACACAACCTTTAAGGCCTCAAAATATAGTGAATGGTCGGTCAGGATTAAGCGACCTGAATAGTATTGTGGCAAAGTGAGTGGTACGTACACATGCCAAGACTGTGGCTATTGAGAAAATACAAACAATACCTGGCCACGTTGATATTCCAATATGTTCAAGAACTGGTTGGGTAGTAACTGTCCCGTCTATTTCCAGAATCTTTTCTCTTTTTGATCGAACACCAGAAAGCAAAGATGATTCGGACTGAGTCCTCATCTTCTTTATTGCTCTATAGACAAAATAGACATTTAAAAATGTATGCAAAGTGATTCAAGACAAAGGAGTTCAGCTTCTAAGGATAGAAAGTTTTACCTCTCAAGTCCATATAAATACTTGTCATAAACAGAGAACTGAAGCCGACCACCCGTTGATGAAGTAAGCATTTTAAACAGATTTTCACATATAATCACATCAGCTATTATAGGAACTGCTGGTGCGATCCGTGAGAAGGCTTCTAAACTCACTGTTGCATCTTCTTCTACCTATTTCAAAGGAAAAAGATGATAAAGAAAAGATTCTTATAAGGATTGCAGAAGAAATGAGAAAAAGAAGCCTTACACTGAGTAAAGCCTGGCTAGCAACAGCTGGGACTTCCCAGACGACCATCATGTCAAAAGTTAAGCGCCGAAACTTTTTATCGGCTAGATGTCCTGTCACTCCAACAGACAGTGAAAGTGCCCTGTAACAACAGTACTCTAAAAAGTTCCTTGCAAATAGAGAAGGCTGCTTGAGAGATTCAAATGCTTCTTGTTTGAAACTATCTCGCAGCTCGTTTGCAGAAACACCGAGTATTCTGAATCAATAGCATATAGTCAAACAAATATAAAGACAGACCACCTCATTCTGCATCCAATGCTCGCATTAGACTATGTCTAAACACAACCTCTGCTAGTTTTCTTTAATTAAAAATCAAACTTTCTGCTAATCCCTTTCTAGTTAGAGCAACTTTCTGTGGAAACCTATTACTATAGCGCATCAAAACACACACTTTTCATACAAGACAAACCCTTATATGCCCCTGTAAACTCATACTGCAAAATGCTTACTTATCGATGAAACATACAGATGAATGGTACTTACTTTGAGCACCTGCGGACAACCACATTGGCGATAGGAGAAAGCTCAGGTATCCAATTGGTGCCAGCAGACGGGGATCTTCCCATTTCCTCGATTTCTTCATCGAAAGAACTTTGTTTCCCAAGCAACCATTTAAAAGAAGTATCTTTAACCAGTCCTTCAAGCATATTCCGGGTTTTGCTCGACATACCAAAAACTCCTTAGTTAGTCCCTTACCTTGTTTGCCTGAAACAATCAGCAGAATCATTTAAGAAACTAGATTGATTCCCATTATATGAGATTACAAGAATTGATTCCAATGCAAAACTTAATTTGCAATATAATTCAGCTAAAGGTAGTTGGTCGGTAGGTTTGACACAGAAGATATAACAATTCCTAACTTTTATTTTAAAAATGACTATGGATGGTTTAGCCTATGCGATCTCTACTGCTTCATTGATCAACTTGAAAGCTAGTTCTAAAATTTTGCACAAAATTCCAACACAGAGACTAATCAAATCTAGAGCATCGTAGAAGCTGACAAAGTCGAAAACATTCCAAAAACAATAACTCCAAATCAGACTGCTGTTTATTTCACGAAGAGCATTTGATCAGATGATCTCAACGAACCCACCTCAGATCAAACGTTTTTAAAAATTCGGTTTTTTGCCCACAATCCATACGCTCTCGAATTAGCGATCAAACTTAGGGCTTTTAACTCTTGATTTCTCGAGAAGTTTTCTAATGGGTCCTCTTGATTCTCAGATTCTGCCTTGATTTTGGGTTTATCGAATAAGAAAACACGCAAAGAGAAGCGAAGCACGACGACGGAGGAGGAGGAGAGAGCGACGGATATCGGGAAAAAAGCTCTGATTCGTTCTCGGCCTTGGTGCTTTCGTTAAGACACGGTAAAACGTGTTTTTTACACGTCAGCAGACTTTAACGGTTCAGATTAGACCAAATGACCTTCTCATTTAATCTTATCTCTACACGTGTCTTGTAGGAATAATAATCAATCCAGATAAGTACCTCTTCTGATCACGTATGATTTTCTTCCGATAAAACACGGAGAGAAAACAACACTAATTAATGAGTGTGGATTCGAATTTTTAAATTAACACTAGTTGATTCTTTGTTTCAAATTAATCCACATTCATTAATTAGTGTTGTTTTATTTTCTCTATGTTGCCATTGATCCTTTTGCTTTCTTTTTATTTTGTTTGTCAATCTATATACTATCGAGCCAGTTTTGCGAACTGCACTCATCTTGGGTATAGTCAGGGGGGGGGGGCGTTTGGGGTGCGCAAGAGGAGCAAATGTGTCGGGCCCAAAAATTTTTGGGTAAATTAAAGGGCCCAATTTTTTTTTAGTATAAAAAAGGGGTAATTTTTAAAACTTTAAGATATTTTTAGCATCAAAAAGGTCCAAATATTTTATTTCGTATGAAAAATACTAATTTTTAAGATTTTTTTAACATGAAAAAGGCCCAATTTTTGTTTTTTTTTATGAAAAATGGCCAATTTTAAGATTTGTACCGGGATTCTAAATTAATTGAGCCGGCCCTGGGTATAGTCATGCCCTGGGATTGATCTTTGTAGTTTTGAGTGCTTAACCTGTATTAAAATCTTTTCCTCATATGATACGACACTTATCACATTATTTTTCATTAGGATATAATGTGATTTTAGTCGCGACAAGGAGGATTTTATGAAAGGCTACCACACTGGTTGCGCTTTGACATCATGTCCACGAAGGCAAACTTGATAATGTTGTGTTGCATGTAGAGATTGTTAGCAAGCGTATTAGGCATAGGCTTGACGGGTCCAATATCATGTATGTGAGTTAATTAAAGTGAATCAAAAAATATTATTTCACTTTAAATGATGTTTTACATTTTCACTACAGAAAACATTTTTTCTTATATTTTGTGATAATTTTATTTTATATTTTTTATTTTAAATTAATTGCTCACCAATCACATATCCGAAAGTACATTATGTTTTAATTTACAAAAAGAAATAAATGATTTTTAATTTTGGATGCAAAAATCGTCTTCAAAATCTGCGGGAAACATATTGAGTATCGGTTTAATTTTAAACTAATTGCTCTATACAAGTTACATATCTGAAAATATATTTTGTTTTAAATGAATAATTAAATAATTTCTTAATATGTATGAAAAATCGCCTTTAAATTTCGCAGAAAACATAAGTATTGTTGAATATATGTTTATCGGTTTATTTTAAACTAATTGTTAAATACCAAAAGAGGAAAGGTGGAAACCAAAACCCTAAAATAATATTAAGAGCCACGTTATCTTAATAGATGAAATGACAACATTACATTGAGAGCCACCTGCTGCCGTTTTCTTCGGCGACTTACGATGACGATGCCGAATCTTCCAAAGGAGTTGGTAGAGGAGATTCTCAGTTTGGTTCCGGCTACATATCTGAAACGTTTGAGCTCTACTTGCAAACCATGGAACCGTTTGATCCACAACGACAAGAGATTCGCAAGAAAGCACTCCGATAACGCCGCAAAGGAGTTTCTGGTTTTCATGTTGAGGAGGAACTTCAGGATTTGTCGGCTAAGCTTCAATCTCCATGGAACTGATCCATCTGCAGAGGTAAAAGGTGAGCTTATCCTACCAGATCCGTATTTTAAGAACTCAGCTGATCAATTCGAGATAGATCGAGTCTTTCACTGTGACGGCCTTTTGTTATGCACCTCCCAACTCGAACGTAGAATGGTTGTTTGGAACCCGTTAACTGGTGAAACCAAGTGGATCCAAACCCGCCAAGAAGGCGGAACCTTTGTTCTCGGATACTCCCAAGACAAGAACAAATTCCGCAATAAGAGCTACAAAATCATGGGCTTTTATGATCGTAGTTCTGAATTTTTGGAAGTCTACGATTTGAACTCTGATTCATGGAGGGTTCTTGATAGTATCCGTCCAGAATGGTACTTGGGATACGCTTATCGGTGCGTGTCTTTGAAGGGAAATGCTTACATGCTTGGTATAGATATAATAGAAGAAATGGGCTTAAGCCTATCCTTGCTCAAATATGATTTTTCAACAGAGAAATATGAACCTGTGACTCTTCCTTTTCCCTCTCACGCCCATTGTTTTAGGGAAGCTCATTGTCTTTCCGTTGTTAGAGGAGAGAAACTTTCCCTGTTATATCGGCGAGATAAAAGATCCAAGACTGAGGTATGGGTGACAAATAAGATTGATGACACCACCACCGAAGGAGCAGTTTCTTGGACCAAGGTCTTAGCATTGGATTTGAACAGGGAGCTTCAAATTGCGTTTACTTCAAATTTCTTGGTAGACGAGGAGAAGAAAGTCTTCATGTGTTGTGTGAGTTGGAGGGAAGACGGAGACGAGGACAAGTCCAAAGACAAGGTATACATGGTTGGTGAGGATAGTAAAGTCAAAGAAATTGATTCTGGAGTAAATGCAACCACTGGATGTTGGCCAACTATTCTTGGTTATGTTCCAAGTTTGGTTCAAATCCAGCAAGCTGGAGGCAAAAGGGAAAGAGGTGACTAAAGAAGATCTACTACATGTAATCTCTCTCTCTTTTGTGTGTGTGTGTGTGTTTTCTTAATTTATCTTGCTTGAATAATCCTTTGAACTGATATTTCATGTAGATGTTGTATTGTGAGATATTTCAATTAATTGCTCTATACAAGTTATATATCTCAAAATACACTTTGTTTTAAGTTTTTAAAAAATAAATAAATAATTTCTTTATGCAAAAATCGCCTTCCAATTCCGCGGAACATAAGTACTATTGAGTATCGGTTTATCGGTTTATCGGTTTAATTTTAAACTAAAATTACCAAAAGAGGAAAGGTGAAAACCAAAACCCTAAAATAACATTCAGAGCCACGTTATCTTAATAGATCAAATGATAACATTTGATTGAGAGCCACCTGCTGCCGTTTTCTTCGGAGACCAACGATGACAATACCAAATCTTCCAAAGGATTTGGTAGAGGAGGTTCTCAGTTTTGTTCCGGCCACATATCTGAAACGTTTGAGCTCTACTTGCAAACCATGGAACCGTTTGATCCACAACGACAAGAGATTCGCAAGAAAGCACTTCGATAACGCCGCAAAGGAGTTTATGGTTTTCATGTTGAGGAAGAACTTCAGGATTTGTCGGCTAAGCTTCAATCTCCATGGAACTGATCCATCTGCAGAGGTGAAAGGTGAGCTTACCCTACCAGATCCGAATTTTAAGAACTCAGCTGATCAATTCAAGATAGATAAAGTCTTTCACTGTGACGGCCTATTGTTATGCACCTCCAAACTCGAACGTAGAATGGTTGTTTGGAACCCGCTTACTGGTGAAACCAAGTGGATCCAAATCCGCGAAGAACGCGGCACCTTTGTTCTCGGATACTCCCAAGACAAGAACAAATCCTGCAATAAGAGCTACAAAATCATGGGCTTTTATCGTAGTGGTGACGAAGTTTGGGAATATGATTTGAACTCTGATTCATGGAGGGTTCTTGATGGTATCCGTCCAAAATGGTACTTGGGAGGCTCTTGTCGGTGCGTGTCTTTGAAGGGAAATGCTTACATGCTTGCTCTTGGTATAACAGATATGGGTTTAAGGCTATCTTTGCTCAAATATGATTTTTCAACAGAGAAATATGTACCTGTGACTCTTCCTTTTCCCTCTGACGCCCGTAGTTTTAATATCGCTAATCGTCTTTCCGTGGTTAGAGGAGAGAAACTTGCCTTGTTATATCGGCCGCCAGATAAAAGATCCAAGACTGAGGTATGGGTGACAAAAAAGATTGATGACACCACCGAAGGAGCAGTTTCTTGGAGCAAGGTCTTAGCATTGGATTTGAGCAGGGAGCCTCACATTTCGTTTAAGACAAATTTCTTGGTAGACGAGGAGAAGAAAGTCTTCATGTGTTGTGTGAGATTGAGGGAAGACGGAGACGAGAACAAGTCCAAAGACAAGGTATACATTGTCGGGGAGGATAATGAAGTCAAAGAAATTGATTTTGGAGTAAATGCAACCAGTGGAAGTTGGCCAACTATTCTTAGTTTGTATGTTCCAAGTTTGGTTCAAATCCAGCAAGCTGGAGGCAAAAGGGAAAGAAGTGACTAAACAAGCTCTACTACATGTAATCTCTCTCTTTTGTGTATGTGTGTGTGTTTTTAATTTATCTTGTTCGTGTTCTTTGAATAATCCTTTGAACTGATATTTCATTAAGATGTTGTATTGTCAGATATTTCAATTAATTGCTCAGTGTTCCTTGCTTTAAACACAGTTTTTAAAGTTAATGATCAAAACATATATGTCTTTTAGAGCAGGTTTCTAAAGAAGAGATCAGAATTATGTTTCAAAATTTCAAGCTTTCTAAGTCCATGACAAAAGTGATTCATATAAAGTGTCTTTTCTCTGAGTTTTCTTTTCACCCAAGTAATCACCCATATTCACTTTTAAAGTTCTACCACTAAGCCAAGCATGGTATGTTGTAACTTGTAAATATACGAATTGGTGTTTTTTCTCTCTATCTTACAAATACACCACTTAAAGTTACAAATATTGGACCAAAAAGCATAAGTATCTATTATCGGTTTATCCGGTTTAGTTATAATTCTAAATTAAATGCACATAACCAGATATCTTGGGAAAGAGGAAAGATGAGATGCCCTAGATTATTATATTGAGAGCCAAATGCTGCTGCCGTTTTCTTCAGTGATCAAAAATGACGTTACCGGAGCTTCCAAAGGATTTGGTAGAAGAGATACTCTGTCTTGTTCCGGCCACATCTCTGAAACGATTACGATCCACTTGCAAGAGATGGAACCGTTTATTCAAAGATGATAAGAGATTCGCAAGAAAGCACACT